TCTGCTCCATTCAGAGGGCACCTTGTCTGTCTTTGCATAGGGCCCTTAATTTCCCTAAATCCGCCCCTGTACTTTATCACACCTGTAATTTTACACCTGACACTCCTAATAAGGAAGTTTCCTGAAGCCTCTCCTGTGGTTTGGTGATTTTCGGCTGGTTTAAGGTTTTTCTCTGTAACTAATTCGGGGCTTAGAGCAGGACTGGGCAGCCTTTTGTTTACCAGCTGAATGCCCTGTGGCCCCCCTGTGGCCCCCACACACAGAGGCGCTCCTTTCAGCTCGTCAGCTGATGAATGACGTGGATCTGTCAACCTGCCCGATCCCAACACTGAGATCTGCCCAAACTGCTCTGTTTTTAATTATTACAGCTGGAACTTTATTTCCTGGTTCGCGCTAAAACTAAAACAAAAGCACAGAGCAGAAAGCGCCCATTTCCCCTTAGGACGCAACTTCGCTCACGACACCGAGTTCGGTGACTTCAGTTGGACACATGAGCTCCGTGAAGTACCGCAGGCACGCGGAGACACGGCTGCTGGGGCACAATAACGACATCTGTCCAATTGATGAGTTTAAAACCGTCGAAACGCGACAGATGCGTCACTCTGGGCTGTTTTAAATCGGAACGTAGACTCACCCAGCCGCATCTTCTTCTTCTTCTTCTTCCTTCATGTTCTGACGGTTCCTGTCCGCGCGTTCCCGCGATGAAAGGAGCGCGCACACCTGAGGCGGTAACAGAAGCCAGTTAGAAAAAAAACAAGATTATGATATAAAAACATTATTACCTAATTAAAGGGGGAAATATGATGACTAAGAGTATTAGAGCCAGGCTAGAAATATTTATATTTTCTATTTAGAGAATAATTCGTAACATTAGTATAATAAAGTCGTAAAATTACGAGAATTAAGTCATAAAATTACGAGAATAAAGTCATAAAATTACGAGAATAAAGTCATAAAATTACGAGAATAAAGTCGTAAAATTACTAGAATAAAGTCATAAAATTACGAGAATAAAGTCATAAAATTACGAGAATAAAGTCGTAAAATTATGAGAATAAAGTCACAAAATTACGAGAATAAAGTCATAACATTATGAGAATAAAGTCGTAAAATTACTTGAATAAAGTCTTAAAATTACGAGAATCAAGTCATAACATTATGATAATAAAGTCGTAAAATTACCAGAATAAAGTCTTAAAATTACCAGAATAAAGTCTTAAAATTACGAGAATAAAGTTGTAAGATTATGAGAATAAAGTCGTAAAATTACGACAAAAATGGTTAAATTACGAGAAAAAGTTGTAACATTACGTGGAAAAAGTCGTAAAATTGCAAGAATAAAGTCGTAAAATTAAGAGAATAAAGTTGTAACATTATAATAATAAAGTCGTAAAATTACTAGAATAAAGTCTTAAAATTATGAGAATAAATTTGTAAGATTATGAGAATAAAGTCGTAAAATTACGAGAATAAAGTTGTAACATAACAAGAAAAAAGTCGTAAAATTCCGGGAATAAAGTCGTAAAATTATGAGAAAAAGTCGTTAAATTACGAGAATAAAGTTGCAACATTACGTGAAAAAAGTCATAAAATAACTAGAATAAAGTCGTAAAATTACGAAAAAAAAGTTGTAAAATTACCAGAATAAAGTTTTAACATTAGGAGAATAAAGTCACATAATTACGAGAATAAAGTCGTAACATTATGATAATAAATTTGTAAAATTACGAGAATAAAGTCTTAAAATTACGAGAATAAAGATGTAAGATTATGAGAATAAAGTCATAAAATTACGAGAATAAAGTTGTAACATTACAAGAAAAAAGTCGTAAAATTCCGAGAATAAAGTCGTAAAATTACGAGAAAAAGTCATTAAATTACAAGAATAAAGTTGTAACATTACGTGAAAAAAGTCATAAAATGACTAGAATAAAGTCGTAAAATTACGGGAAAAAGTTGTAAAATTACCAGAATAAAGTTGTAACATTAGGAGAATAAAGTCACATAATTAGGAGAATAAAGTCGTAACATTATGATAATAAAGTCATAAAATTACTAGAATAAAGTCTTAAAATTACGAGAATAAAGTTGTAAGATTATGAGAATAAAGTCGTAAAATTACGAGAATAAAGTTGTAACATTACAAGAAAAAAGTCGTAAAATTCTGAGAATAAAGTCGTAAAATTACAAGGAAAAGTTGTTAAATTACGAGAATAAAGTTGTAACATTACGAGAATAAAGTCATAAAATGACTACAATAAAGTCGTAGAATTACGAAAAAAAGTTGTAAAATTACCAGAATAAGGTTGTAACATTAGGAGAATAAAGTCACATAATTAGGAGAATAAAGTCGTAACATTATGATAATAAAGTCGTAAAATTACTAGAATAAAGTCTTAAAATTACAAGAATAAAGTCATAACATTATGATAATAAAGTCGTAAAATTACCAGAATAAAGTCTTAAAATTACAAGAATAAAGTTGTAAGATTATGTGTATAAAGTCATAAAATTACGAGAATAAAGTTGTAACATTACAAGAAAAAAGTCGTAAAATTCCGAGAATAAAGTCATAAAATTACGAGAAAAAGTCGTTAAATTACGAGAATAAAGTTGTAACATTACGTGAAAAAAGTCATAAAATTGCAAGAATAAAGTCGTAAAATTAAGAGAATAAAGTTCTAACATTACGAGAATAAAGTCTTAAAATGACTAGAATAAAGTCGGAAAATTACGAAAAAGAGTTGAAAAATTACCAGAATAAAGTTGTAACATTTGGAGAATAAAGTGACATAATTACGAGAATAAAGTCGTAACATTATGATAATAAAGTTGTATCATTCCAAGAAAAAAGTTGTAAAATTACGAGAATAAATTTGTAAAATTACGAGAATAAAGTCGTAAAATAAAAAAATAAAAAGTTGTAAAATTATGAGAATAAAGTTACAATGAGAACATACATAAAATTATGAGAATAAAGTTGTATTGTATGCCAACAAGAAGCATCCATGCAGGCATGGATCGACTGGGAATCCAGGGCTGTTGGCCAGCCTCATTCATTACCCATACAGGTTAATCATCTCGTTATCTCAACAAATCAATAACTGTTTTCTCGTGATAATGAGATAACTATCTTGTTATCTCAAGAAAACAATTAATGGTTTAACCGTGATAAAGATAGTTATGTCGTTACCCCAAGAAGACAAAGGAAAAAAAAGTTAACCTGTATTGTTGCCTCTACTCTTTTTATTCGATATAAGATGCTAAAAAATTTTTTTTTTTACTCACTAATTCCCAAAGTTGGGTCATAACCCAATTTTGGGTCCTGGCATAGGGTCTGGAGATCCACCACAGAAACTAAACTAAAAAAAATACATCAATGTCAAAATGCATAAATATATAAACCAGTGGCCTAAAAAGTGGACAGAACCAACTACATTGGTTATTATTGTAATAGTTATTAGGTCTCCTTTTTCCCATTGCTCCTGCCATATCCTAATGACCTTGTTTGGAAATACAGATTATCTCAGCTTTGCTCAGAGTAATGTTAAGTTGACCACATCCATTTGAGGGCTTGTTTCACTAAGATATGTGCCTCACTTCCTTTTACGACTTCAATTGTTGACCACTGGATGTGCAAGTTCTCCTACTTACAAAAGATTAGAGGTCTGTAATTTTATCATAAGTTCTCTTCAACTACGAGAAACAAAACTAGAAAATAAATGTAGGAAATCCCATTTTTAAAGAATGGATTTGTGAATTATGGTGAAAAATAAGTATTTGTTATCATCAAACAAACTAGAGCTGCATGGTGTGGCAGTGGGTAGCACTGTCGCCTTGCAGCAAGAAGGTTCTGGGTTCGATTCCCGACCCATGGTCTTTCTGTATGGAGTCTGCATGTTCTCCATGTGCATGTGTGGGTTCTCTCCTGGTACTCCAGCTTCCTCCCACAGTCCAGAAACATGACTGTTAGGTAAATTGGCTTCTCTAAATTGTCCTTAAGTGTGAGTGTGTGTGTGTCGTTGTTTGACTCTGTGATGCCCTGCAACCAGTCCAGGGTGTACCCCACATCTCTCCCATTGACTGCTAGAGACAGAAACCGGCCCCATCATGATTCTGACTAAGCAGGAGAAAATGGAAGGACGGAAACAAACTAGATGTTTAGCCCTCAGAGAGCTTCAGCTTCTATTTAAAGAAGCTGTTCTGTCCTCCACCTGTTACTAGCATAATGTCACCTGTTTGAACTCATTGTGTCCGAATGTCCGCCCTTATCACTATATAGGGCACTATATAGTGGTTACACCATTTTAAATGAGTGTGGAGTGTAAGTAGTAGACTTAAAATTTTCCACAGTGCACCTTGAAAAGAAGTGATCATCCATGGACACAGATGTATACCGGAATGCTTTGAGAGAGCTCTCCTTGCAAAGCATTATGGGATTTGTTGTCACAGCGGCCCGCAGGGTGCCGGGAGGCGGAGTCAGGTGACCAGCGGGGAGCAAAAAGTAGTGATCATCTGTCCGAACTGTCAGTTAACTAGGTTCCCTATAAAGTCCACTAAATAGTCCACACTATATAGGGATGGAGGGATTTAGGGGTTAGGGCGGATGTTCGGACGTTTAGACACAGCCATACTCTACATAAATGCCACTTTTTTGAAGTCATCATCTGTATAAAGGACGCCTGGCCACAGTCAGAACTCAAACAGTCAGACTCAAAATTGATTGATGACCAAGAACAAGTTGTTGTTGAAGGACACCATTAAGAAAACTGGACTGGTGGCCTAATGGTTATGGCATTGCGCTTGGATCCAAGTGGTTCAGAGCAGACATGGGCAATGTTGAGTCAACAAGTCATCTCCATGTCATGTATTTAATCTACCCAGCCAATTAACCAGGTGAGTCCAATCTGCACAGGTTAATTCAGGGTGAAGATTGGACTCACCTGCTTCAGTGGCTGGGTAGAACCAATACATGACATGGAGATGACTTGTTGACTCCACATTGCCCATGTCTGGTTCAGAGTTCAAGCACCACTCCAACAGACTGCCACTCTGGGTCCCTGAGCAAGACCCTTAAAGTCATACTATACAACATTTTTCAGTTAATTAATGTGTCCCATAATGTTTTGGATGATTAAATGAGTAATTTCAGGTCGAACAAAGGTTTTCTCGGCCGCCCTGGTGGTCTGTAGGGGAAATACCGTATTTCCATTTTTACACATTCATCACTGCGATAACTTCACACAGCTTTATTTCTCCCCTAACAGTATTAGATAACAATCCCCAGGAGATATTTTTTGCATCTTAAATATTCATCCTGCACTCTTTAATATTGTATTAATTTATCACATGTATAATTCATATTTAATGGCTTAATTTTCTCTTTCCTTTTAAAATGCACTGCTTAATCCATGAAGAAACAGACTTTTCATTGCATTCACACCCTTTCCTGTTACATGAGGCCTCAGCTCCTTGGACAACAGTAGACATTATTTTAGAGTTATATAACTCCACATCAGATAAAAACCACATTGGTTGCTATCTAAACCTTTGAATAACTCCTAATTAACACTATCAAGTCTCCATCTTGATATGCATACTTCAACTCCCTTATTGACTTCAAATCCAAGAGTAGTGATAATGGGAAATGACTGCTTGGTTGAGTCACTTACCCCCTCCCACTCCGT